AAGTAGATCCAATGATGAAAGAGATACCGACGCGATTAGTAGGTTTTATGGAGTTGTCATTCTGAATTTTCATTATTAATATATATTTTTTTCCTCTCCATTGGACTTCGCCTCGACCCCATCGAATGGAGACGAGGCTAAGAGTCTTCTTTGATGCTTAAACGTCATGCTTGGTTTTATCTGATTAAAAATTAGCTTAAATAAATTTGATTCGTTTCTTATTCTGAATACTTCTGGTTTGCTTTAGATGCTGTTGGGTAAGGATTGAAAAAGTAGTTTTAGCTTCTTCACTGGATTTTTTTACTTGATGCCCAATATAACTGAGAACGATGTGTTGAAGTTTCTGTCGTACTCCCGTGCCTTTCCGTACCTCCCTTTTGCGAAGCACATCCCGAATGCCGGCTGCACCACCGCACACACGCAGCATTCGCCCAAAGGCGTAGGTATCACCTCGGCACCCTTCCTTTCGTCAACCGTGAAAGTATTAGCTGTTTTATGCTCCACGGATAAGCTGCCAATTCACCAACCTTCCGATCGAACATCAGCGGTGAGCTCAGGACGGGATTCATTGGATCCCACTAATGCAACCACCGCAAATACCTGTCAACGGGAGGATGAGGAAAACAGTAGATCCTACAAGCGTAGGCGGCTGTCAGATAACACAGAAGAAGACATGAACTCTATCAAAAGTGATGCGTCAGATTCTATAGATGGTGACAAAGAATCTGAAGAAAGTGATGTTAAACATACTGATGATAGCAGTGATATGTCGGACGAAAAGAGCGGCTGGCGGGATAGACAGTGCTCGGCGCGGCGCCGCATTTATATTCGTGTGCAGTACGATAAAACGCTCATAGAAACCTTGCCGTTGGAGATTATGCGTGAGAGATACCCTCAGGTATTGATAGATTACTTGTTATCCTGTGCGGTGTACTCTTAGTGTTCCTTTTCTTTCCAGTGTTGTTGTAAAATAGACATGCGTGTTTATGGGTCTGTGCACGAATGGCTCACTTATGGTTCTTCAGCTTTTATAAAAATAAACTTTATTATGGAATCTTGTTGCACCATAGATGACTCAAATGAGGGATTCCTATATTCTTTCCCCTTCCATAACTTTCCTCCACCTGCTTAAGAAAAGTATTTTGTGAAGCGCACAAAAAAAAATAATTAGACATTATCATTATTATTTTTTTTTTGAGGTGTGTGACTCGCTTGGTCTTTGTTTCTCCTCCATTCCCCCCCCCAACACACACACCCTTTCCTTCTCTCCCTCCTCTTTCGTGTTGGGGATCCTTCTCTTCCCCTAGGCCGGATGTCCGGTGATGCGGAGGCGGAGCAGGCGGCCAAGAAGCACCGATGGGAAGGTTTAGCGGGCGGCAACGGCGGCGGCGGCGACGCCTTGCCAACCCGCACCCGATGGAGCGCCATGACGCCGCGTCAGTACGGGGCCGAGACCCCTCGCGTCTTGACCGGGCTCGCCGCGGAGCAGTCGACCTGGCGGGGTATGGCGACCCCCACCGCGACCCCCCTTAACGCCCGGGGGATACCGTCCCCACCCCTCGTTTTGGGGGCGGCAGCACCCCTATGATGCGGGCGGCCGCGACCCCGCTGATGGGGGTGGGGGCAGCGGCACGCCGGCGATGATCCCAGGGGGGGGGG